ACAATTCAACTATTTGAATGCGACCACTTTCACAAGCCATTATAAACGCATTTCGACCTTTTTTTTCTTGAGCATTAAATATAACTTTTTCCTTCAGCAACAGTTCAACTGTTTGAATGTGACCTTCTGCACATGCCATCATAAAAGCAGTCCAGCCATCTTTGTCTTGAACATTAGGATCAACTTTTTCCTTCAGCAACAGTTCAACTATTTGAATGTGACCTTCTACACATGCCATCATAAAAGCATTCCAACCATTTTTATTTTGAACACTAGGATCAACTTTTTCCTTCAGCAACAGTTCAACTATTTGAGTGTGGCCTTCTGCACATGCCAGCATGAAAGCATTCCAACCACTTGCCACGGTCTCTTGAACATTAGGATCAAAATTTTTTTTCAGCAACAATTCAACTATTTGAGCATGACCTTCTCCACATGCCAGCATAAAAGCGTTCTGACCATTTTTGTCTTGAACATTAGGATTAACGTTTTCCTTCAGCAATAGTTCAGCTATTTGAATGTGACCTTCTGCACATGCCAACATAAAAGCATTCCAACCATTTTTCTTTTGAACATTAGGATCAACTTTTTCCTTCAGCAACAGTTCAGCTATTTGAATGTGACCTTCTGCACATGCCAGTATAAAACCATTCCAACCATTTTTGTCTTGAATGTTTGGATCTACTTTTTCCTTCAGCAACAGTTCAACTATTTCAGTGTGACCTTCTCTACACGCCAACATAAAAGCATTCCAACCATTTCTCTCTTGAACATTAGGATCAACTTTTTCTTTAAGCAACAGTTCCACTATTTGAGTGTGACCTTTTTGACAAGCCATCATAAAAGCATTCCGACCATCTTCTTGTTGATGTTCATAATCAACTCCTTTACTAATCAACAACTGAACAACCTCATAGTTTCCATGGTAACTAGCAATCACTAAAGCATTTATTCCTTTCAAAGTCTTTAGGTGAGGATTAGTATTAGCTTGTAGTAACATTTGAATGAGTGAAATATTATTATGTGCACTTGCCATCATTAGTGCAGTCCTTCCTTTATTGTTCTGAATCTTAACATTAGCTCCAGCAGACAGTAAACTGTGTACAATGTCCTCATGTCCTCTTTCACAAGCTAACATTAGTGCGGTCTCACTTTTGTCATTAGTATGATCAATATTAACAGTTTTTAGTTGAAGAAGAAACTCTACTACTTCATTATTACCAACTGTGACTGCCTCAAGGAGAGCTAGTTCAAAAGTGAAATTCATATTCTCATCTTCTTGAAGGACAGGATGATCATTGATGTATAAACTAAATATACCAATAAGACGTATAAACTCTAATTTTCTTCTGTTATATTGTATTAAACTATCAGCTGTAGAATTAAGAATATGTAACTTGATGATGACAGATCCTTCCTCAATAGTAATGCACTTCATTACTGATTGTCTAAGTTCTTCTGGAAGTAAACTTTTGATAAGAGTTTTTAATGTATTGATTTTAACTTTATCCCAATGATTTTGAAGTTCAATACATATCAATGGCATGTTCTCCAATTGTCTTCTATAAGGTTTATACACTTTCCGTAGCTTTTGTTTGAGTTCTGTAATTGGCTCTGATGAACGAAATGCATTAGCTTTTAAATGAATAAGCCTTCAGTTCATCAAGTAGATCTTTCTCATTGCTTATAAACTCATCACACATAGCAACTATCAAGCTACAATCACTGAAATCATAATAAAGATACATCTTTTTGAAAATGTCATCTAAATCATTATGCACTGTGCCAGGCTCCAAATGAAGGTGACTCTCTACCCAATTGGATATTTTAGTCGGGAGTTCATTATTATTAGTTACTTTCATACGAATAACTGATTTTATTTCTGTCATGATGTGAGAGAATTTTGCTTGTAATTCATCTAAAGAGTCTTGAACTTTTTGCTCTTCTTTTGAAAAAAATATAATTTCAATATCCCCTAAAACATAAATATAATATTTAATACCATATGAGAGATAGTTTTGGAGAGAAAAATTTTGGTAAAATATGTATAAGTTACACAACAAGGTGGATGTATCTATTGCATTTATTATACCAAGAGCCATATACCTGAGATAAATAAGGTGATATGTACCGACACAGAGTTGTTTAACCAACTTCTACCATGTATTAATCTCCTGGGCTATACTTATTTACCTCCCTAGATGGCTAGAATTTACTTAAACTCTTGGTAACTAACTAAGTTATTTATGAGCAAAAAATCGAGCAATACTATTAGTCAATTGCAACTAGGCAATAGGCATTGTTTGTTTTGCCTGCCATTGTAACAGCACTGTAACTTACCATCTGAATTTGATATCCTTGGTGATAATGATGATACTGTAGAGGCAGCATCACTGTCCATATAATTTTTAATATCTTGAACTATTGTATTCTCTTTTATATTTTCCAAAGCATCAATGATATCTCTCCATGTTGCTTTAGGATTGACTGACAACCATTTTGAATATAATGCAAACTTTTTATGTTCAGTTTGTAAATGTATGTTTTCTTGCTCAATTTTTAAGATGTCATGCTCTTTCATTTCAACTAAACATGAACCAAATTGCTTCCATGGTACAAGTGGTTCAAGCCATTGAATTAAAAGGGAAATATCAGGTCTATCGTCAATTGTAGGACCAGGATTGCATTCAACATCTCCTGATAAGAGGAGGAGCATGCGTAGACAAACAATCAAATAGAGATGATTGTAAATCAGGTTAGAACTACTGCCTCCAGGTAAGACTACTGACTGGAGGTAATTCGTATCAGTAGCAGTAACACAAGTAGTACATTGTACTTGGTAGCAGTTACCTAATAATTTAATACCAGTAAATATACAAGTACAAAGTGTTTACCTATTGGAGGAATCATCAATATGTGTCTCAATAAAGAGAGAGAGTGAAAGAGGAGGAGGAGGAAAGCAATAAGAGACAGAGTTACTGGCAGTTTAGATTAGCTGGTCTACTCGAGGCAGCTTGACAGTAGTTCCACAGTCCAATACTTGCTCTCCATTGAGATACATCAATCATACCTGTCTGTATATGTTAGACAGTTGATAATATTTATGACCCTGCCAAGAATTTTGTCGTAAATCTTCCACTTAATGAGCTATTAGTATGAACACATGGGTTTGTCCTGACTAGGTTTGTCCCTGTGTGGTTTGATTTATAGATGATATCATTACTCTACTATTTTTACAGGTGCATAACCACAGTTACCACACTCTAGAGCTTTTACATGTGTACCACACCTGATTGTACTAAACTAAAAATAAAAAATGCATCAATAGATAAAATACACGGTTTAGGACAAGCGAAACTAATTTTTGTAATTTATAATGTGTATCTTTTATGGATAAAAATATTGTATGTACTGCATGTAACTTTATTCCTCTAATCCTCCTTGGCATTTATGTTCTCAAAAGCTAAAATAAGACATTGTAATTAACAAAATATTGAACAATTGAAATGTGTATGATCATTGTATAATATAATCACCATAAATTTATTATAATCACATGAGAATCATGCACATACATGTATAATCATAATCGTAATCATAATCATCCATTTTGCCAGTAATCATAATCATAATTATTCACAAATACCCAGGTGTAATCATAATCATGATTATAATTGTGCTAATAATAATAATAATAATAATGATAATAATAATAATAATGCAATATTAATGTATGTGGAGCTATAAAAAAATACATGTAATAATAATAATAACAATAATAATAATAATAATAATAATAATAATGCAATAATAATAATAATAATAATAATAATAATAATAATAATAATAATAATAATAATAATAATAATGTAATTTTTAACAATAACAACAACAACAAAAATAACACCAACAACAATAATAATGTACAATAAGTTACAATAAAAAGAGAGAAAAAGGGGGAGTAGGGAGGGGAGGAAAAGAGAGAGAAAAGAAAAGAGGACAGAAAAAAATTAGAACAGAGGTAGGAGGGAAATTAACAGTTAACAGAAAGAGAGGCGGCTCTCAGCCAGTTGGAGGTCGAAGGGAGAACCGAGAACTGGTTTGTGTTGGGACGAACGAACTCCTCTGATACACATTATGGCAGATCTTAATAGGGCGAAACTGAGACGACAACGTAGTAGACCCAGTGTCATGGATAGATGTTCATCGCGCTTCGTAGACAGTTTCTGAGCCAGATGGCGGTAAAAGTTGGAAGTGGATTTTGACATGCCCCCAGTGGCAGAGAAGACTAGTGGAACAAACGAAGAATGTTCTACTTGAGTCACACGCTGTTCATATTGTCTACGTTTGTCGTTCTCGTGTCGTCTGTATGTGGTTGAGAGAGGGGTTTCCATATTCGATTTAGCATAGGGATTAAATATGCGGATGTCAAAATAATAATAATAATAAT